CTGGCATCACCTGGGGACACCAAACACCACAGCTGGCTGGGCTTACCTGTGGCCAAGCCACTCTGTCCCAGCTGCAGACACGGCTCTTGGTCAGGGAAAACTCCACCAGCATTGTGGTGTACCTGAGAGATGGATGGTTCAGGGTGTGTGCCCACACCTGTCACCGTCGTATTTTCTGAAAAATTTCTTTACCCAGGATTCTTCTCCTGGGAAGCTGAGAAGCCTCAGAGAAAAATGAAAACAATAATGACCTGATTTGCTTCTCCTGTGTTTTGCTGCTTTGGAGTGTGGTTTGGACTTTGTTTACCAACAGGTGGTTGTCTGATTCATTTAATGTGAATTGTTTTGACTAAATTACCACTCACAGTCAGGCTGTGTTGGACTCTGGAGGAGAGAGTCACGAGTTCTTCACTATTATCTTTTAGCCTTCTGTCTGTATCCTTTCTCTATTCTTTAGTATAGAGAAAAATTTATTATAACTCTTTAGTATAGCTTTAGTATAACATTCTTTTATATAATATAGATAATAAAATAATAAATTAGCCTTCTAAGAACATAGAGGCAGATTCATTCATTCCTCCCTTCAATGGGGGATGCAGAAAATACCACACACACCCTCACCAAACCAATGGAGATGTAGCTCCTCCACTGGAAATTTGGGAAGAGCTGCAGCTAGCGATATGCTACCATATTCTAAATAGTACAATCTCTTTTTCTTTGCTCTAGTGGGAAAACACTTTGAAGTGTGGAAGTTTTCTGAGGGAGACTTTCCTAATAATAATTTTGCTCAAGTTTAAAAAAAATTGTGAATAAATTTTTGGTTTTTTCTGCCAGCTAGTGTAATATGATCAATGTAATATTTTTATAAAGATTCTCTGTGCTATGGTTAAAACTTATTAAATTTTGGAAAATATGAATTGCAAAGGGGAATGAAATGAGAACATATTTGTCCATTTGAACTTCTAAACTCAAACTCTAAGTTTTGCTAAGATGCAGGAATAAAAGGTAAATCACTGAATCTTGGACCATCAAGAATTTTATTCTACCCACGGTAAAAAGCAAAAAAGGGGAGAAAAATAAAATACAAAGTTGTGGCCATGTTGCAACTTTGGAGGAAAAAGCTGAATAAAAAGGAGGAAAAAAGTGTGTTGCAACCATGAGTATCCTATGCCAAACCTCAGCGGAGGTCACTGGAATGAGCCAGCAAGCCAAGCCTAAATAAAAATAGGACCTGTGGGATTCCCCATATGATTTTCAAATAGTCACTGCTACACTACCATTTGTCAAGTTTGCAGGATAGTTTTTTACCAGATGTGAGAAACACAGCACCAAATCCAGGCTGAAGCAAGAGAGAAGAGTGAATCCTTCCACATGGGAATAATCTGCTCAGGAAGGACTGCAAGGTCCGAGACTGGACTGAAACCTCCCAGATCCCTCAGTGCTGTGAAATGTGTTTTCATAATTTTACAAGTGAAACGTTTTTGTCACTAAAAGCAAGGTGTTCAAAGGACCTGTCTTACTGTGCAAAGGAAGGGTTAAATTGCATTTTTTTTTCCCAGAAGGGAAATGCCAATTTATTGTATAAGGAATAATTTCATTTTCAGTTTAGATGTTTGCATTAAGAACCATCTAAGAGTGGTACTTTTGTGTTATTCAAAGTGCATCAAATGTTTCTCACTCTCTTCCAAGTATTAATTAACACCAGATATTAATGTGTAAACTGCTGCTCACTTTCAGCTGATTGAGAAACCTTCTTAACACACTTTGTTTGCTTTACAAAATCTCACTTGGGCTCCTTGAGGATGGAAATATTATTGTTTACATTTGTACAAGCAAGCTGGACAGGGCAAACTCGGAGCAAGAACCTCTGGAACATGAACATAAGACACATCAGGGAATTAATTTGCAAACGTCTCTTAACCTAGTTCCTTGCTGGGTTTTGATTTGTGTTGGAGACTAGGCATGAACACTATCCCACAACCAAACAAGTCTTTATACCATCAAGAGCTTAGCATGACTGATGCTCATTATTTTTAACTGTAGAACAATTTAAAGTGTCTATGTGACTTAGGAACACAAATTTATTTAAAACCAGTGGATATTTTGGGCTAGGTGTTTGATACCTTTGTCGCTTTGTTAAGCAGCACTGGTGCTGATTTTTTTGGTGAAATCTGAGCATGAACTTCACTGACGACTTAGGAACACAAATTTATTTGAAAACCAGTGGATATTTTGGGCTAGGTTTTTGACACCTTTGTCTTGCTTTGTTAAGCAGCGCTGGTGCTGATTTTTTTGGTGAAATCTGAGCATGAACTTCACTGAATCCCAGATCCTCACAGACATTTTCCCAGGCTCTCATCTCCCAGTGTTTGTAATGGAAGTTAATACCTGGATGCCTTAATGGAAAACCATCCATGAGTCACATGGATCAGAGCAATGCCAATATAGATTTAAAATGTTTTGTTAATGTTCCTGTCAATTAAGATTAGTGTCCTGCTCTTAGGGCTGGGCAGTTTTGGCCACCACAATAAGAAAGACCTGAAACTCTTCGAGAGCATCCAAAGGAGGGGCATCAAGGATCTGGAAGGGCCATATGAGGAGTGGCTGAGGGCACTTGGTCAGTTCAGCTGGAGAAAAGGTGATTAGGGGGGACCTCATGGCAGTCTGCAGCTTCCTCCTGAAGGGCAACTCCAATCTCTGCTCTCTGGGACCAGGGACAGGACCCGAGGGAACGGCTGGAGCTGGCTCAGGGGAGGCTCACACTGGATATCAGGGAAAGGTTCTTCCCCCAGAGGGTGTTGGGCACTGCCCAGGCACCCCAGGGAATGGTCACGTCCCCGAGGCTGCCAGAGCTCCGGGAGCGTTTGGACAACGCTCTCAGGGATGCACAGGGTGGGACTGGATAATCCTTGTGGGTCCCTCCCACCGCAGGATATGCCCCAATTCTGCGAGTCTACTGTTGACCTCCCTGTAAGAGCCCAGTGCTGGGTCCAGGCTCAGTGTGGGAACCCTTTGTGAGCCCAAGGCTGGGCTTTCTGAATTTCCCAATGAGCACCAGCTCTCTCCCTGCAACCACAACTGCCCCTCCTTTAGCAAGATGGGGTGTGCCATGTCACCTGTACCAGATGGACTGGCACACCAGTCAAGTCTTACTGGGCTTTTGGTTCCTCCCCCAGTAAAAATACCCCTCTGCAATTCACCCTTTCAGCAGATGGCCAGGAACCACTCCTGTGTTGTGTGGTTTTGCCTCTGCTGCAGCCATGGAGGAAGAGCCCCAGCAGCTGCACTCCAGGGCACTCACACATGGGAGCAAGGCTGCATGTTCACAGCTGGGGCTGGCAGCACATGTTGTTAGGGTAGTTACTGGGGTCATCTGCAAATGTCTACCTTTGCTTTAGTGTTTTGCCAAATGTAGTAAAAATTTTTACACTGGGTAACTGGTTTCAGGAATAAGGAGGTTTGCTCATGTTTAAAAACCCAACAGAACCATAAGGTACCTTGAAAAGGTAGAAGAGGCAGAACACTTCACACAACCACGCAGTGGAGATCCAAAGTTCAATGGTGACTTCAGTGTCAGAGAGCTGCTTAATGTCTTCTCTGTGCCTTCTCTCAGAACACCATGCACTTCCTCCAGGGCAGAGGAGGGAAGCTAATAACTGAAATGCTGGCCTCAGAGAAAATCCCATACCCACCAACTTTTACCTGGCCTGTTATAAGCAAATGTACAAGCTTTGTTCCAGTAAGATGTATTAAGCTTCTGTTTGTCAGTGAATACTTGCTGGCACACTAAATCAAAGAGAGATGTTTAAGTGGACACACAGTACAGAAGTGCACGCCATGATACACATTTCTCATGTGATATTGTGTGTGCTCATGATTAAGCTCTTTCCTCACACCTGATGTGTGCAAGAAACAACATGACACCTCAAGAAGTGGTAATGCTGTCTGGAGTTTAAAAAAAAAAATCAGTTGTTCTTTGCTTGTGATTCCAGCAGGCCAAGCTGCTGCTTACATTTGGATACAAACATTTTCAGTCTGCAGTTCTGGGAAGTACTCAGGGCCCCTGAGATGTGCTTTCACGTTTCTGGTGGAGTGTCATTAGCTGTAATGCCAGCCACTGCTAAGGACAGCCCTGATTATCTGCAGGCTCACAAGCTGCCAAGTACAGGCACATGGTTTTGCATTTACAGTTGATCCTAGAAAGGAGAACACTATGGATATTTTTGGCCCTTTATTTTAATGGCACTGCCAGAATGACTTGAATCTGAAAACTCACAGCTCATTACCAAGAGCAAAATGCTGACCCAGGCAGAGCCAGAAGATTTGAAAACTACTTCAGAGTTGAGATCTAACAGGCTGCTGTAGAAGCTGGACAGCGTTTTTCCTCTGCTAAGCCCACTGTCCCAGAGAGAACATTCCCTCTGTATTTGCAGCATGCAAGACTGTGTTATCCAGCCTGTTCTGCATCCTGGAGAGCAGCAGGATGCTTTAGGCTTCACACAAGGCAATCACTGCCCCAGCTTGTCTCACGCTCACACTGCAAGAAAGAGCTCAGGACCGGCAGTGCTGCATTAAGAGATGCACAGCCAGAGAAATGGAGAAGATTAAAACCAGCAACAGTATCGCCTGTTCTCCTGTGGATGTTTCAGACATGCACCAACTTTTCCTCCTGTACCAACAGCCTTTATCTGCCTTTATGAACCCAAGTCAAAAAGCCTTCCAAAGCTTTGGTAAATGTGTGAACAAAAGGCCCTGTTTCGAGGTGTTGAATGACCTCAAATACCACCTGACTCCAGATAACATGTGGTATTTTTGGACCAGAGAGGCAATAAAATACCCACTTTAGCTTCTGACCATACCACGAGTTATTCCATTTGCTCTCACTGTGCAAGTCACAGCTCTCCCAGTTACAGAGAGGAGGGAAAAGCTTCTCAGGAAAGCAGGCTGGCCTCTGTGTAGCACGGCAGACAGAAACACAGGATTACACCTACCTCAAATTCCGACTCCAGTCTACAGTAACAGGCTGCTGTACAATCAAAATATATACTAATGGTTATGCAAAACCAGTCTGATACCTCTGGTCTCAAGGTAACTTTAAGGTTTACAGGACTCCTGGTTTTGGGTGTATTTTGCACATGGGAGAATGATTTCTTTGTCTACAGCCAAACTCAGCACCTTGTTGTTATAGTCCCTTTCTTCCACTGATTTTTCTTGTAAGACTCTAGAGTTCATATTCTCAAAATATCTTTAATAACCAAACATTTTTTGTCCACAGTTTTTCAGATGCAATTTGAACTTTTTAGACAGCAAAGAATTCTTTTGGGGCACTAAACATTAAATGAGCCCATTATAAGAAACTGAGGGACTAAACAGATGTCTGGTTTTGGTTTTTTAATTCTCACTCTTGATTTTCATTGTTACAGCTTTTCCCTTGCAATGTAAACCTTACCTGCTGAAGAATGTTGTGTGATTTAACCCAGAACTCTTTGCAAAACACTGCAAGATTCCTGAGGGAGAGGTAAGGTTGAACTAAACCAGGGTATTGTGAGTAATATTTGTTGCACTCAAACTTAGATGTCAAGGAAATACAAACTGCCTCAATGCAAGTTGGCAGCATTTTTGGAATAACTTCCCCAAGTAACTTCATCCCACTCAAATGAACCAAAAATGAAACAGATCAAGAGCAGGCAAACTTTGAAATAAATAAAACTTCTTTAATTCAATTTTTCATGATAAAGACTTAAAAAAGGGTAATTATTTTGCAGGCAGTTATCAAAAATCTACACTTAAAATCTAAATTTAGAGCTATTAGGGACAGGATAGCAACAATTGTATCTAGACTTACTTTGCAGGTCTCAGAAGTATATCTCAGGAGTGTATTTTAGCTCTTGTTTCTCTGTGAATTAAGACACTGAGGTTGTTATGCTGCCTATCAGGGAAGGCAGTAGGTTGTATAGTTATCTCCTGATTGGGGCAAAATCACTACCCTGAAACCACACAACCTACTACCTCATCCTGTTAGAGCATCACGTGCATCTTCTGGAGGAAACATTTCACCATTTGCTAGCAAATGACCTTATCACTCTCCAGCCCACACATGTCTTAGCCTTAGAAAGGCCATGTGGGACCTCAGCCCTTCCCCACAGCTCCACCTGGGAGTCAGACAGAACTGGTGGAGGCACTGCAGGGACAGGAGAACTGCAGAGGCAAACACTGTCCCTCCCAAACTAGCAATATGTAATAAAAAAGCAAGTTAAATCAGTGCCCAAAACTGACTGAAGAGACCTCTTAATTAGGGTTCAAGAATTTACCATTTCCAGGGCAGAACACGACTGAGTGGGAAGACATCCTCTCAGGGTTTTGTCCAGCTCATCCCTTTGGAGTTTCTCAAACTGCCTACACCAAGTGGATTTAAACAGCTGCTGAATCAAAAGCACCATTTTATGTTTAATATGAACACAGATGCCAGAAAACAAGGGAGAGATGGATCAGCTGTTTGAAAGTGGCCACTCCCATGGCAGTCCCAGACAGCTGTGCCTGAGCAAATCCACTGCGGACTGCGCTGTACCTCTGTGTCCTGGCACTCACACCCCACCTGCTCCCCAAAAATGCCAGAAGGAAATGGCTTTTGAGCCTGAATGGGAAATACAGGAATCTAAACACTCTGAGGACATTTGTGTACACGAACCAAACACGGAGACAGAGCCAGAGAATGGTACAGTTGGAAAATATCTGTGTTGTCTTTTGGAGACATCCAGCGCTGACATCACAGCCACTTCAGGAAAGACAGTAGATTGTATAGTTATCTGACAGGCAGGGCATAGCCCTAAAACTATACAACCTACTACCTCACCCCAAAGGACAGTCACATTCTGATCACAGGAAGCACAGGCTGCATTCCCAGACAGCTGGATTGCTTAGTGACAACCTAGAAGACAAAAAACTCTGGAGACAAATGTTAACAGTCTTGAATTTGAAACATTTTGCTATATACCAGTCAATGTTCTGCTTAATGAGCTCCAGTTCCATGTTTGAAATGTTTAATAGATTTGCAACTTGTGAAGTCATGTCAGTGACAAGATACACAAGGGAAACAGGATACAGCATTCATTTTTAATAACTGCACTTGTGTACTTCCAGCTCCTACATGACTGCACCTTATCAAACCAGTTTGTCACTTCGGGAAAGGCATCACTGTGACTTAGAATGAATGCTGACTTAGAGGGATTATTTAACTTGCTTCCAGATAATTCTCCATTATCCTAATGGGGAAGAGCTGAGGTTCTCTAAGTGAATTTCCCAAGTTCTGCATAGGTAAACCCCAAAGACTGAGCAATGAGTTTGTCAAGACTGAGGAATTGCAGCCCACTCAGCAATACTCCTAACTGAGCAGTAACCCAGCTCTGAATTGATGACCAAATAAACACACCCCACTGTACCACACAGACCTTGGTTAGGGGGATTAGCAGAACTGCCACTATAGCATCAGCTTCTGTAGCCTCAAACTTATGCTTCTGTTTGAGGGGGTTGTTATTCCCTGCCACCTGGTTTGATAGACAACAGCACTTCCTATTCAGGGCAGATATAAAGAAATGGGAATAACTGAGATATCAGTCTGTATTCTAATATAAACACTGCTTTCATAAATAAACAAACTTTTAAAACAAACACCCTACCTTAATCAGTGAACTAACCTTTTGCTAGTTAATTAAAGAGCACAATAAATGCGGCATCCATCAGCCCCACACGGATCAAGGAGAGTTGTTTCACTCAGCAAGTCTCACCCTGAGGTCACTTGGTCACACTGCAGGGGGATAGAAGCCATCTGCCCTGGCTTTCAGCATCACTGCTGTGGGGATCTGAAAAGAGAAGAGCAAGACAAAACACACAAATCTCAACTGCATTTCACTGCACACTGAAACAATTACAAGGTGGGTGAGAGCATGTGCAAAGCAGAGAGCAGCTTCTTCCTCCAGGAGAAGCACGCACAGCACCAGCTTTCCCATTCACCTGGTACTACCACAAGTACACCCATGGGGACCCCACTCAAAGAGACAGGCAAGAGCAAAGTATAGTGAAAAGAGAATAATTTTTTATTAGATTGACTTGAATATCAGGAGCATTGCAGAGACAGGCAGAGAGAGGTATCAGGTACTTCACCTTCAAGGAACGAACACTTTTACACAAAGCAGAGAAGGAAGGAGAATGCAGATATCTGATCAAATTGGATATCAATGTGTTAATCTATAAAGGACATGTTATGGCATCAATGTCAAAGATCATTTCACTGTAGTGGGCTGAGACCACGTAGAAAGAGGCCATTGGCTGACATGGTGCCATTTGTTGGACAAAACAGGACAGGTGCAACTCTGACCATGCTGAGATCACTGCAAGGAAGGAAACTCTGTCCAGCCATGCATTTCACCTCTTGGAACCTCCAAGTCCTTGCAGGCCAAAAAGAGTGAGGTTCTTTCAATACCATACCAAAGGAATACCTTGAGAGATTTCAACATTTCATCAATGCAAAACACCCTCCAAACTGATACCTTAACTTCTATAAAGAACTCCTTTGGAAAGCTCTCCAGCAGAAAGCCTGATAGTCTTCTCTATGTACTTAAGGGTTTTAAATCTCAGAATTTTCTGAGTACCAGCTTTTAGGCATTGTCAATTGTTTTCCCAATAATAGTCTGAAAAAACCCCTACCCTGTACCTCTGTTTTTTAGATAAGACATTTAAAAAGAAACAAGTTCTTTATGCATGCAATCAGAGATCTCAGTATTTTTCCTTAGAGCTGAGAATGTGAAGTGGAGCTAAACTTCTGTGCAGTTTCAGCAAGGCTGGATGTGCTGCACAGTCACCTCTCAGAAAGTGTTTTCTGTGTAAAAGAAACCCTGTGCTTATATCAATAGAACAGTGTTACATAATATAACTGGAGGAAAGCTGAGTATTGTGTGACTTCAAAGTGTAACTTTTTGCAAGCATCTACTTCACAGTGGAGGGATAAAAACAACGTAGCCTTTCAGAAGAGCAACTCTTTATACTGGATGGTCCAGTGAAACCAGTTCCAAGAACCAGTCTGACTCTAAAAGGATACAGTCACAGTAGTGAAAAGCCCAAACTATCCCACAGACCCATCCAACTCCAATGACAGGGAATTTTGGATGAAGAACTTTCACTGATCTTAGTGACTCTACAAGAGAGAAATACAGATTGACAGAAAAACAACATTCTGGAGTATGTTCTAGGGATTTACACTGCCTGTCTTAATATATCTGGACCTCACACTTTTGGGGGCAATACTAGGTGGGAAACTGGAAAATATTAATCCCTGCTGAAAAAATGCTGAACTTGAATTAACCATTTGTAAAGGATGCTCTTATTTTCTATGATAAAGATATTAGAGATTCTTTTCTCTAGGTGCTGTGCTGATATAATGCTGCCTTAAGGTATATTTCACCACAAAAGCAGTAGTTTTTAAATTCATAATGATGTTGAGATAATTACTTGTAAAGTACCATAAACTCTGTGCAATATTTTTTTCTATAAGATCTGTTAATATGGGTATTAGTAATACTCATTAGCAAACAAAAATTGAAAAGAATGTGCTTTATCCAACACCTAAAATTAATTAGTCTTCTGCTCTCACAAGCTGCCCATAAACTTATTTTAATTGCCTAGATCACCAAACAAGGATGAACTTTAAAATACTTAATGAAAGAAAAAATGCATGTTCATTTTCCTTCTACAAAGACGACAGGCACAAGAAATAGCTATCTGGCAAGAGTTATGTTTCTAGTTTAACAATTGTTTAATACTAGGAAAAATATGACATTTCCATATTCCAACTCTCACTGAAAAACGTTTTGGAACTGATGTTAATAAGTACCTCAGCAGTCACTTTTCAAAAGGCAGGGGGCCAAGTCTGCTATTTCTGTGATGTTACAGGAAAGCAGACAGTTTTAAAGCAGGGTTGTTATATCACTAAAAGCCTTACTAATGAACAGACTGGGACAGCACAGAACAAGCATTCTCCAATTTCAAGGTACCTTCCCCCCAAAACCTTGTGAGGATTTACAAAGGCTAAGCCTCCCTGGCTCCCAGGAAGAAGGAAATGCCCCGGCTGTGTGCTCTTGGAGTGCACTGTGATTACCAGGGAAGAAGAGGGCTTGGAGGCAGGGACTGGGGTCTGGATGCAGGCCAGACCAGCAGTTTCCAATCTCTCTGCATGCAGTGATGACCTTCTGGCTTCCCAAGCGAAGCACAGTCCCGACCCTGCTCCTACAGACTGTTTATTCACAATTAGAAATGTCACCAACATGTTTGGGAAGAGCACTGTGGGGAAAATGGCTGAGGATATGCCAAGGTGGGCACTGCAGCCGAGGGAAGCCTCCTGACCAAACTCAGCAGGGCTTGGATCAGGCAGAACTTGCTCCTCTCTCTTCAGAACTGGGATCAGCCCACTCCCCTTCTTCTGGGGCAGGATTGTGGCAAAGCAGTATTGTGGCAGGAAACTTTCCTAGATATTTCAGGTAGAGATTACTTAGAGGAGAGAAGGATTCAGTTTCCTTGGATTTATGTATGATAAACTCCACACAGTGTATTAAAAATATATATTTTTAACTAAATATAACAAAAATTACACACTGCCTTCACATAGCATGCAAACTTCAAGAAGAAAAAACACTCTGATGTTGTGACACCTGTGAAATACAACATGTACTGCAATCTCACTCATTACTTAAATGCAGTTGCTTCTAAAATGGCAAACAACAGTTGTGAAACTTTCCTGCAATTTAATAATATAGGCCATATTCTGCCAGAACTTCAGGCAGGTACAATGGGAAAAAACTCACAGGACCAGAGCTCCACAGCCTCCTCCATTCAGAGGAGATGCACAGGATTTTCTAAGGTTCAATTCAGGAGGGCTCCTCCTCTGCACAAGTGTCTGTCTGTCTGTCAGAGCATCAGCTGTGTCCAGCAGCTTGCTCACATCTTCCCCAGGGCAAGAGTGAGGCCGGGCTGTAACGAGGGAAGCAAATTTCTCACTCCATCCATTGTGATAAAGCACTAAAGGGGGATGAAGGTTTGCTCACCCATGGGTTCCTCGGTGCTGGAGCAGTCAGGCGTGCTGTCCTGCTTTGTACAAGCCATAGGCACACTTTTGCAGGGAAGCGTTTTCCTCAGATTCATGAGGGAGACTTTTAAGAAGGGGAGTGTTCACACACTATTGAGATCAACAGGACACCCTCACTTGGCCTCAGTGGCTTTGAAGGAAGCCCTGATTATCCAATACAGCACAAATTATGAGACACAGAAGTTCAAATGATGTGCAGCAAGCTTACACATCAAAAAGAATTTAGGGGCCAATGACTATTTTCATTATCTGTTAAAATCGGTTATATAAATTTTGTTCACCCTTTCTTTATTAAATACAACATCAAAGGCAGTGCAACACAGCTCTTTATAATAAACAGTTTTATGTATTCAGTGAAGCTGTTGTCATTATTGAACTCTTTGCAAGTATTTGAGAAAAAGGAGTCTGTGAAATGAGTCAGAACTCTCTGGCTAAATGTCTCTGAGCTCTGCAGCAATTTTTGTATGTTTCTGAAGTCTGAATGTTTCATGTATGGGGGGGAAAAAAGGCAACAGAATGTAACAACACTTAAATATTTAAATCAGCTGAAATAAGTCCATCTGCCATACTGTAGCCTGACTACCAGCCAGACCTGCACAGGAGCTTCCTCACTTGTGTGGAATCATGCTAAAGTCAAGGAAATTCCTCCACAGAAATGACCTCCCAGAAAAGTTTTACAATGGTTATCAGAGAATGGGAAGTGTTTAATGTCAGCTGCTGTAACTCCTTGACTGGGTGTAGGGAGGTGTGACAAGCAGCAGATCCAAGGAGCTGGGGCTGGGTGTGCACCAAAGGTGTTCTGCATCACCACAGACATGTTCTACAGGTGTTATGTTAGCATTTCATACACCTTGTGTTCTGTGAAATGCCTGGAATGTTAAACATGCATTAGGGTAAAGACCATTTTTCATCAAAATACACCTAATTTTTCTTGGAGGTGGGATCATGTCTCCTGCTTAGGAAAACTGCAGTACCTACACTGACAAAATAGTTGTTTTTCTATTGCATTTATCTCTGCATTTTGCCTATGTACTAGTCCGAATGCTAAAAAGCCCCAAAAGCTGGTATTCCAGAGAATGATGAAACACTTGATGTCTCAAAGCCTCCACAAATACAGAAATTAAACCAGGGCTAAGCACTGGCAGCTCTGTATGTTGCACTTGTGATCTTATGCAAATAAACATTTAAGGAGATCTATTTTCTGAAAAATAAGCTGTGAAAGACACAACAGAACTGTTCAGTGCATTACAAGCTATTAGTTTTGTAGGACTTAAGATCAGTCTCCTGTTTTCCTGGCATAATCTTTCCATCTCCTGGCTTCCCAGCTGAGCTGCTGTGCTTGCCCCCACTGCATCCCTGAGCTCTCCATGGCAGAGATGAGGACCCCCAGATCCTAATGCCCAGAAATCAGGGCAAGTCCAGAGTCCAGGCAAGGTGAAACCTGTGTGGAAATGGCAAATCCATCAGGTAAGTGAGATACAACTTATGAAAAACAGATTTTACAGGTACTCTTGCTACCTTACCATGTGTAAAAGCAAAAGTGCAAGGGCTGAATCATCTGGGAAATGAAGCCAGCAAGAGGAGATGAAGCTGTGACAAATCAGGGACTGGTTTTTATTAGGAAAAGAACAAAGAGAATGTGTCAGGTTTATTTTGTCTTGGCAGATGGAGATAGCAAGGGTAAAAGGGGCATAGAACACCTCTCTTACAGTATTTCCTAAACATTCCTCAGTTATCTCCATGCTCCTGGGAGGATTGTATTCATGCAGATCACAAAAATGAAATGTTAATGACAACCCCCACAAATATTCACTAATTTTAGGATGTTGAGCAATGGACCTTATATTTGAAAGAGCTGAGCTCACCAAACTCAGCTGACATCACCTGAATTTGCCTTTACATCTCTGAACACAAAACTGGACACTTAAACTGATCACCCTCATCTTTGACTTGATATGTGATGTACAGCTCTCCAAAACTGCACCTTTCCCACTCCCACTAAAGCCCTGTGAAAATAAAAACCAGGCACAGTCAGTGATGCAGACAACAGTCAGAACCACAGCCTTCTGTCTCTCCAGCTAAATACTCAGCCATCTCACCAGCAATTATTTGAGTGATATTTTAAATTCTTTTTGGATGAAAAATGCCTACACAGAAAATCTGAAATAAGCCATCTGAATTTTAAGACAAGTGGATTTGGCTTTTAAGTATGTGCAATTCATACAGTTTCACACCTAACCTATGTCACACCACTGAGAAAGTGCTATTTTTTTCAGTTCCTTATAGAAGCTAGGAAAAATTGAATAGAGTCACTTCTTCTTAAAAAAAATGCCATTTCCAATATCAATCCACTAATTCCTTTTTGGGAAAACTGAATTTTCACTCTGAAATTGATTCAGGTCCTTGAAAATTGGTGGTTTTTCTTTCTTTTTTTTTTTTTTTTTAAGAAGACATGCAATAAACTAGTATATGCAAATCCGAACTTAATTAAACACCAAGATGGAATGTCTGTCAGGTTAAGCCTCAGCAAGAAACTAAAATTCATTTTGCAGAATGCAGCCATCCTAATAGTTATAGTTGGTAGAAAAATGGCTTCTGGCCTTTCTCCCATGCAGCTTTAATTTTAAATTTCAGCCCTTAGTGAGATCAAGCAGCTGACAAGGAGGAGTGAATGAATTAGTGGTCGGGGAGGCAGGAGTAGGTCAAAGCTCCAAATAAACTAGTGTTAGTGGATTTAGACTAAAATTCTGTATTTACATCAATGCACCCTTACATCTGCCATCACCACAAACAGGATAAAGTTACTTGAGTGCTCTTGAAGAAGGAGCTTTACATGATAGCAGACAAGCACAATCCAACCTTTACAGACTGTTCCATTTGTGATGATCACTTCAGAGCCTGCAGCATTTGAAATTGTGGATAGCATTGTATGGAAAGCTGGCATGAAATCACTGTTCTGTATAGTATGTTTGTTTTACAATATTGTTAAAAGCCTAAAATTCATTTCTATTGCAGAACAATGTTCTGGAGTCTGGACTGCATTTGGGGTTGAGCCAGTGGGCTTGGTTCAACCTGACAGTAAGCCAGCAGAGGCCTGGAAATCCACACGCACTAACATGGAGAAAGCATTTGTACAGGCATTGCAAACCCAGTTTGTTTCTGGTTACTTTTGGGGCTTGGGGAGGTTGTGAGGCTGCAGACATGATCAGACAAGCCTACTTGCAAGAGCAAGTGTTGTCCCTAACCCTGTTAAGCACAGGGGACCTCCAAGACTTTGCCACTAGCAAAACTGCCACTTATTGAGTTCCCTGTCTTCTTTTAGTGACTATTTCTCTTTGGACACCACACAGATCCCTGTGCACTGCAACAGCTTTGTTATCACCCTGGGATGGGATGGTGTCTCAAGCTGTGTTATGATTTCAGAAGCACACACTTGTGCTTTGTTACCATGACTTTGCCTCTGCTCTGAGCAGTTATTTTCCATTCGGAGCATTCCAGCAACACTGCCAAGAGCCTTACGCACACACTCGCCCAGCCCAGCCTTACATGAGCCTTTCAAAAGCAAGGGGGAAGCACTGAAATCTGCCATTTGCACACAAGGGCCCTTCTGCCCTCTGGGCCTGCATGCTGAGGGGGTGAAGGCTTTTGGAGCGTTGGGGCGAGTGGGCAGTGCTGCTGACATGGCACTCGCGGGCACAAGGGAATTCCTCGTGAATTCCAGGCTGGGGCTCAGACACACAGCACTGCCCGTGCTCAGCTCCACACAGCCTTCTCTCCTCTCAGGTGACTGCCCACAGCTGGACACCAGTGTAAGTTTGTGTACCTGAGACTGAAGCTTTCACTGGCTAAACACTCATGAGTGGGCTGCAGGGGTAGAGCGCGAGCAGATCTCTGCCAGAGCTCCACGGTGCGCTCGGCTCTCCGTGTCCATTATTCATGATGCTGTTGCTACAGACCCTAATTTTACATAAACAGAAGTCACAAGAGAACTGTTACAAGGAGCAACCAGGAAAAGCACAGGGAAAAGAGTGCCTTGTCAGTCAGCATTAAAAGCACAGTTCAGTGTTACTTTTTCTGGTTGTGAAGCCTCTTGGGAGTCAAAATATGTAACACATTTTCTCTGAAGAGTAAAAACCTGAAACCTAAAATCTTGTAGATGGTCTTTAGAATCAATTTCTTCATGTCCTGTGCACAACTCCATTCTAATTCCCCACATATGAAAAATACATAACCTCTTAGCTCCAAATTCATCTACCTTACAGTTCCTTTTAGCTCCTGTTTAAAATCTACTAAATTCTATCTTGGCTATCCTGTAAGCTATTGTTCTGTGCCTGCTCAGGGATGACAGACTCCAGAATTTAAGATCTGTGGTGCCAAGAGCAGATTAAACCTTCTCTGAAGACAGAAACATGCACATTACTAGTATCCACTGAGAAACGCAGCAAGCAGACTTGGTGCAACTGAAATAATTGATTCCCTTCCTCTTATCAACACAAAAGATAAGAGCCATATAAAAGTACCTGTTTTTCTATCTCACAGCATTTGTAGCAAACACAGTGGACAGTATTTCAATATTTTCCTGTTGCAGAAATAAGCTTTAGGCACAGAATCCATGACATGTAAATTAAGGTATACTTCACAAGACCTATCTTAGTTGTGAAAGTAGGTCATGCATTTAAGGCATTTCTAGACTCTCAATGTAAATATTCTGAAAATATTTTTGTGTCTATAGAATAATATTTTAATTATTTATCAGACTTCATTCTTCAAGAACACTAAAGGAACAGATATTTCTAGGAGTCCTCATAGGGAAATGAGTACTTCTTGCAACCTTTTACAACTTTACATAGTGCACATTTTGTTCTTAATGGAACTGCATGCTTGAAGCACACCTCAAAAAAAGTTAATACAGTAGAAGAAGTTATTGTGTGAAGATCCCAGACTGCACAGGTAGGGAGTTTGAATAAACAATTGCATGACATTTTCAAATGTTCACTACCTTGAATTATTTTGGGACTCTTGGAATTCCCTCAAGACTGGTGTTGGGTATTTGTTCACCTGCCTATGAGCAAGTTATTCCATGAGCAAAGTTAAAGAGGGAAAAAAAATAGCAGAAAGCTAGAAAACAAGAGAGTCTATGTGTTTGTGATGTGAATTGAGTTTCCAGGCCAGAACTTTTACCAGGAGAATAAAAAAACCAGAGGCAATTTAAATCAGCACCACTATCAATTTATCCACTAGGTGTCACAAAATAATCATGCAACCAGACGAAAAGCAATTATATGTAAAATGTGTCAGTGTACTACATCAATGAAGTGCTGCTTTGAAATGAAATCTGTGATAAGAGCAGATGCAGGAAAATGTCATGGATCTCATGAATATGCATAAACTGTCAGGAGTGTATGGGAACCTGAGCCATGACACACAAAAGCTGTTGCTAACCATGGTGTACGTCATGTAATGGATTCACATACAAGCATGTAAGTGTTCCATTAAAAAAAAAAGTCTTCCTAAATCCTAAAAGCTGTATTACCACTCCTCAGAACTCCAAGATTTATGTTTCTTGTTTTTTAATGCTCCAGCTACCGGACAAATGTATTGTAGCAGATTCTCTACATATATGTAAAAATCTCTCTTGACTACAGGGAAAAAATGCCAAGAAAACAAGTTCTGAAGGCTAAAACATATGAGGAAGAGAAACATAAATATTTTATCAATATTAGTATAAAATCACCACAAATGCCAAACACTGGAACTGCCAATAGCATGTGACAGACACTCCTTAGATCCAGACTGTTCTTTTGGAAGGGCAGGGTAGAAAATTACCAAATGGTTCTGTAGCCATTATTTTCTAGAAATCAACCTCTACTGCATAGGCAGTATTTTTGTTCTTAAATATTCGTAGACCATTTAAAATTCGTAATTACACATACACCTGCACTCACCCAAAACACTGAGTCCATAAAAGTTAAGATTAAGGCTGGGCTGCTGAAACAGGCACCTCAGTTTCCAAAATGGTTCTTTAATAACAGTAACTTTTCCTCAGAGTTGCATAAAATTTTTATGGGCCAAGTAGACTCCAGTGTGCATTTATCATTATCTGTACTCACACATAATCCAGACAATTAAAAATGCTGTAGTCACTAGCATATACAACATTATGAAGTAGAACAGGCTGCTTAGATAAGAAGAGGAAACGTATCCTGGACATTTTTTATCATCCAAACATAACAGTACCAGGGCTCTATATGCTCTGCTGCCAAGTGCCATTGCATAAAGCCAGCCTAAGTCATGTCAAAATCCCTTCCCCCTTGTGAGAAATGCAGTAAAGGAACATATGCCCTACCAGGGCACTGTATGTTTATACTGCAGTTTGTATGTTTTATCCTGGCTGTAAAAACCAGGCTTTTTCAGGGTGTAAGC